TTTAGTGAAAAGAAGAGTAAATAACAGGAGATGGGGGGGGGGGGAGGAGAGAAGGCAGACAACAGGGGACCAGTAGTATTTCTGTCCTTCCTTCTCTTCTAAATAATTTTTCTTTCTATATACTGCAGATCTGTTTCTGCTGCTATCCTGAACACACTTTACTTTGACTTTTTAAAATGTTTTTCTACCCCTTTGTTTTGGTTTTTGTTTTTAGTTCCATTCCCCCCCACACACACACACCCCTTGTCTTTGCAGAGAATTCCATAGCAATTCTGAAAAAAATTTCCACCTCTTGCAAAGCTGCAGTACAGAAAAATATATGGCTTGGATACTGGCCCTTGTATGGAATATCTGGGTCTGAGTTTGGATAAATCAAAACTTAAATTGTCAAAGCTAGGCATGCTTAAAAAATAAAGCAAATATTTCCAGTGACAGGAAATCTACTGAGTCTTCAAAATTAAACAAAAAAATGACAAAATGTCAATATCTTTTCATATGTTTTACTTGACCTCAGATCGTTTCATTCAGCAGGTTCATCTCAATCGTTACATTAAGTAAAAACTTTTTGAATACTGTATAAACATAAGCATTACCTTTAAATAACAAGTCACCTGGATGTTACGTCTTTAAAGTTATCACAATTAATTTCTGTAAAATTTTATAAGATTATTAGGTTTTTATGGGCGTCTCACAATAGTATTTAGGTTTGTATCTGGACTGCATACCTGAAATGAACCTCCCAAGCTGGCATTTTGCTCTCATTGTGAGGAGACCTTAGGGTGCAGAAGCTCCAGGAAGGAGCTGTTCCCTGCAAAGTTGGACATGATATTCTGTTCGATGTATTTAACTAATTCAGCTGTGCCCTACTGGGATGTCTGAGACACTTTACGTACTGCAAGTTCAAATATTGCAATATTGATAGCTGAGGTATGTGAGAGGTAGCAAGATGTGTTTCTGTTTGTGTAGGTTCTGATCTGCTGCTGTCAGTATGATATGAGCAAATCCCAAAATTCTGACATGTGCATTGAAGTTAGTTTATCTTTCTTGTTTGGTCCATAGGGATTGCTAAAACATCTTGGGTTTGTTGTTTTTTTTTTTTTCCTTTTCATTTCAGTGAGAGGAGAGGAGCTTTACATTTCAGTGTTACGGTACTTTGCTATACAGTGGTGAAATACAAAGGCACTCCTCTGTACTCAAGGGTTTTCTTTGGAGGTTCCTACTTCCAGTGAAACCATCTTAGAGTCATGAAGAATGTCAGGACTTCAGGTAGCTCAGGCACACTTCTTTAGAAAGTTTGGAAAACAGCCACTGAAACTTCTAACTTAAAAATTGTCAGTTAAGGTCTGTTTCAAAACTTCTACACAAGTTCTAGCTGACCCAGTTGTGTAACTGTTTTTTGTTTTTTTTAAAGCTTTAGTTGAACAGTGGGTTAACATGTGTATGTACAAAATCCCTCCAACTATACCATCATCACAGAGTAACATAATTCCAAAGTGTCTAGAGACTGCTTTCACTGGAGTGGAAAAGTCCGTGATTCTGATGAGTATCTTCTCCTGAAAATGTAAACTCCTTAGAGAAAACAATAGTTGGCTTGGAACTTCATACATGTCTTGGTGTGACTTCAAAGCAACGTGTGAAGCAGGAGAGCTCACTGCTGTGCATGTTCTTGCTGGTTCCAGGAGAGCTGCTGCTGCATGTCTCTCAGCAGCACTGGATTTGCCCTGGTGGAGTATGTCACTTTTCTTCTGCCACTTGCCCTGGATCTTGTGAGGCAAGCTGCATCAGCATGTTCCTATGCCCGCTGCTGCACAGCCCTGTGTTCTTCTCCCATTCCTTAGCAGGGTGAGAGGGTGTTGTCCTTGTAATTGAACAGACCTGAGTAGCATTACCAAGGTCCGTATTTGTGACATGATAAAGTTTTTGCTTTCTTGGCACTAGCTAGATGTGATGTAACAGGCAATGTCAGAACAAGTGGAAGGAGTACAGCAGGCACTTCGATACTCTAACTTGCAGTAAATGATGGTTTGTCTTGGCAATTATGGCAAGCCACCTAGAAATCATTTTAAATGAATGAAGTGGGATTGAGGAAATCTCTTGGGTGTCAAGGGAGACTTGCAATCCCCTTCAGGATTTTTGGCTCAAAACATTTTGCTGTGATTGCTGATACAGGGGGCTGCAGTGGTAGGCTGATACTTTACTTCTGCCCTACCCACTCACATGCAGTTGAGGAGGGATCAAGCTGGAAAGCTTGGGAGTTGGATTGTTGAGGTGCAATTGATCTGTTTAACTGATGTTAAGATTTTTCTTATTGTTGAGAAGGTAATTCTAGATGAATTAGGAGACATAAATACTCAAGTCCAAATAGCACACATGAGGCAGAGGTGGCACCAGACAAAGCAAGCTTTACTTCCTCAAGCAATATGTATCAAGCTGTATGATTATGTGTCAGTGTATATTTCGCCTTTAAATAAAACCATTCTGCTCAGATTCCAGCAAAGGTGAAGGAATCGTAGAATGGTTTGGGTTGGAAGGGACCTTAAAGATCATTGAGTTCCAACCCCCCTGCCATGGGCAGGGACACCCTCCACTAGACCAGGTTGCTCAAAGCCTCATCCAGCCTGGCCTTGGACACCTCCAGGGATCTCCTCTTGTAGTTGCTTACAAAATGCAATCTGTGATATCTTGTGGTAGTACTACTCCATCATTGATCCCTATTCCTTGTTTAAAATACAGTTGTCTTTAAAGCAAACTTGTAACTTTAAACTTTAGTCAAAGTTAAAATTCTTAACTTAAAATGTCAAAGGCTAAGTCTGCAAGCCAGAGTCAAATCTGAAGCAAAAATTGCTGACTGACTAACTCTGACTCATCAAATTAAGTATCATACTGATCCCTGACAGTATTTTTGGAATCTGTGACTCCAACAAAACTGTGACTCCCTGAATCTGGTCTCTCTGGTCTGAGATGTTGAACATTCATCGAGTCTGCTCTGTAGCCTCAAACCTATGTTTTGTGTGAGAGTATGGCAGAGTAAAAATTGGTCAGTCATGTTTTGAGAAGAGGGCTATGCAACAGAAGAATAAGCAGTACATTTTGTTTCACTTCACTTATGTTTCACTTTAATAAATAGCTCTACAGTTAATTCACTTCTCAAAAAAAGATGAAATTTAGAAGAACTCGTGATTTAAATTGTTATGTAGGAGTCAGAATCCAAGGAAAAAAGTGTGGTGACAATATACTCCTTACTGTGCAGATATAACCTAATTTGCTAGGGTAAAAAAAAAAAAAAATAGTTATCCTTTTGCATCCTTTTGCATTGGTTTGGGCATTTTTTGGGGGGCTGGGGGGGGGGGGGGGGGGATGATTTTTACTATCCTTATAATTCCTTAAAACATACTTATTGTGCTATTGTCAGGGGTTCCAAACAGCAGTAGGCCTATCACTACCGGTGTGCCATCTGCTTCCAAGAGTATGCAATTTTCACTTGAATATCTCCTGTGCATAGGAGGGGCTCAGTACTTACCTGGGAAGCACTTCTACCGCCAAAGGCAGTCTAGGATAAAATTATGTTGGGGAACCTCCTATCAAGATATTTCCAGAAACCAACAAAAATGCAGGCTGAGCCTTGCAAATAATGGAAAAGTCATCTGTTCTGATAAATCAGATTCTAATATTTCTTAAACAAGGGGTGGTGGCATGAAGACATTTCTCTCTTAAGCTTGAAGCATGTGATTTTTATGGTATTGTGTACACAAAGCTTATCTTATCAGATATGAAATGTGTAAATGGTAAATGCTGATGTGTTTAATTAGTTTGATCCACAAGAATATTTCCAGTACTAGGTTGATAATTTGTTAAGCTCTATTGCCTTAGTACACTTACTTTAATCATATAGCCCTTGGAGCTGAGATATCCAAGGGAAACTTGATGTTAGTTGCTGTGACAATGTGTGCCTGGTATTGATGCTGTCCATGCTTACTATACTTACCGTGCCTTTAATGTCTTAAGCTTCTGTAAAGGCCTTACATTTGTTCAGCCTCTCTAATCTTCTCTCTTTTCTGTGTGTACTAGGTTTTATTGGCTGGTTAACTTAAATTCAGCAGTTATCTTTGTCAGCATTTCATATATCCAGCAATCTGTGGCCAGGAACCTTGGTTTTCTTATCCCATTGGTGTCTGTGCTTATGGCTATGATCACAATTCACATGGTGCGGGGTGAAATGATTTACAAACCCAAAACAGGTAAGAGGCAACTTTATCTTAGGAAATATCTTTAGATTTTCACAGAAGAGATCACCTTGCATATCTAAACAAGTATTTCCACAACACTGCTCTGTTTAGTTGGAGGTACTTGGGTTTTAGCTCTGCAAGTTCTGCGTGTAAGAGGCAACATCCATCCTACGTTAATATAGATCTGAAGATTCTGAAAAAGTGGAAAGCAGTCTCTGGTAAACTTATGTAGATTTTCTGTCAGTCAAGGTATGTGTCAAAGCATTTGCCTGTGCAGGAAGAAGTATAATATGCATGCTGCTGGTGCACTTTTTCGGTCATGTTTAGTTCAACCTATGCTCAATGCATTTTGGTCAATTGAAGCAGAGTTTTCACCTATACTAAGGCACCAAGCACACTTGTGTTTTCTCCCTCAAGTGTGCTTCGTTGCTTTGCCTGAACTTGCACCTGGGCAGACAAGCAGCATGGTTAGTCAGATAGACAGGAATATGCACTAGTAGCAAAGTAGTTTTATAATGCCTTTATCTTGCAGAACATCTGATGCTTACTGTTATTATAATGTGCTTGCTTATACAACATTGTGCTTTTACACATTTGAAAAAAACTAGAAATACTGAATAGCTCTAGTTCTTGTGCAGACTGTACAGATATTTTAAAACAGAAGTAGTTCCTACACTTCTGTGGCCCCACCAGTTAGTACCTAAGCTGTACAAAATCCTTTGATACCCTTCTCCATTGGCCAAGCAGAAATATAAGTGGAGCCTAGGTGACTTGAATAAGGCTGTAAATGCCCAAACCTTGCTGTTCCTTTTCCAATAGAACATGGAAATGGAAAGGAAGTTGTTGTTTCAGTATTTTTGTTTTAAATATAATCTAAGCAAAAACATTGGTAGTGAGGGAATTAATGCATAAATCAAGTGCCTGGGAGTCTCCTAGTGAAGAAATCACTAGAGAGGTTTATTCAAAACAGAGACAAAGAAATGCATCCCCTCCACAGTGCCCCCAAAACCTCATGATAATGTGCAGCTGAGGTTTGCAAAGGCTTGTTTCAAATGAGCTAGCTTCTTATGGAGAGAATGGTGGCTGGCTGGGTCACTGGGGCTCACCATAACTTTTTTACAACCTGATAAGGTGAAAAGATTCTTAGAATCCACCTCTGAGCTGGACTGTTTCATTTGGCGTATATCTGTAGTTTATCATCCAACTAGTTTAATGCTACCAAGTGGAATAATATAAATTTGTAGATTATGTCTGTCTTGGCCATCAACAAAAGTAGCAGAGTTTTTTTGGTATCAAATGTTTTTACCTCAGTGTTGTTTCATTTATCATATATTTTCCAAGTCTTTGCAGAAAGTCAATATCTACATTAATGTCTGCAAAGCTTTTTATCTCCTTAGTCAAAATAAAAGATAATTTATCTTGTACCTTCCAGTGAGATGATGAAATTGGAAATTCTTCAGAACTGTAATTCAAATCTATAGGTGACCTTAAATGATTTTTATATGTGCTGCCTTTTTTTATTTTAATGTAACTCTTCAAATATGGATCATGCATTCAATTATGTTTAGCTGTCAAACATGGACTTAATTTGCATTTCTTCCTACTGCTATAATTTTGAGGACTGGCAGGTGACCAGAGATGAAAAAAAAGTGTGTATCTAGGGTGCAATGTGGGCTTTTTATTGTAATTAAGTATCATAGATATTCATAATTAGATCAATGTCAAAGTAGCAGAACATTAAAGTATAGAGAAGGAAAATCACTTTTGGAAAGTTGCAATTTAATATCCATACAGATTTTTTTTTTAGAAATACAAGTATAGAGCATATGATGTTGATCTACACAATGTGCACTGATATAAATATGTATGCTTTTAAACATGTCTCTTACTAGCTGATCAGATTTGTAATTGAAAAATTCACCACCATGGAGTTCTGTCGGGTTTACTTCTTTTATTTTGAAGAAGGGATGAGATACTTAATTCTAACTACATCATTGGCAAAATCCTCTTTATATTGATTATGTCTATGTATCATTCAAGTTGCTTTTTGAACTACAACTTCAAGCAGCTTTATCTTCTTGGTTTACTAGATTTTATAATCTGCTTGAATGCCATGCCGAGAAACTCAGCTTAATAACGTACTTGTCTGTTTTGCCTCATAAAAAATGTTTCCTAGGCAGTTGACTGAAATTACATTAAAGAGGGCCTCAGCAGATCCATTAGGAAAGGCAGGGAAATGTTAGGATTTGTTGTCTATTTTAGTCTTTTTTTCAGTGAGAGTAAGAAGAGTATGCCCAACATCTTCCATTCCAAATGAAAAGAGATGGCCATGACCATCTTCGAGACTAGGTTAGATAACCAGGACACAGCCATGTTGTTGCTTTGTTGAGCTGTCTGCTGGTCTTGTCATGGGGTACTCTGTGCGTCTTCTGGTTTCAACATTGACTGGGCTCAAACTCTTGTAGAGCAGTAACACTGCATTATTGCTTTTCATTCCTTCTTTGTGAATGTCCAACCTCTTGTGTAAGGCAAAGCAAAAGATTATAACTTCTGACCTAAAATGTGTAATTACTAGCTCTGCCAATGAGTTGAGGTGATACTGACTTTTCTGTGACATTTTTTTTACTTCTGAAAATAACTCTGTTTTGACAAGAGCCTGAAGTCTCACTTATTCTCTGGTTAGCTTCTTAGTCAAGTCACTCTGGAAGTCTCCAGATTTTTTTTTTTCTTCAGTCTTCAGATTTGGTCTTGAAATAGTCTAGATCCTAAACTTAAACATAACTTAAAATGAGTGGTAAGAATAATTGCCTAGTACAGTGATACAGAACAATAAAAAATGGACCAACTCTGTGTTTGCAAGCATTTATATGCTATTTCAGATTTTATTTAATAGTGCCAGCAGTCTACAGGCTAATGCTAAACAGCCAGAGTTTTAATTATTAGGTTATCTAACAAAATGCTTGCTCTTAGTACTCTAGAGCAAGTGCTTCCAACAGGTGTCAATGGATATTTCTAGAAAATAATTTCCATACCAGAGATAGTAGGGAGACATTTTCCTTCTGCAGTCTTAGTTCACCTTAGTATTTGCAAAGCATTAGTATTTGGAAAGCATATAGATTCACAAGTTATTGTAGTGCTTCAGCACTCAGAAAAGCAGAGAAGTGCTGTAACCCCTATTTGAATGGATAACAACAAAGGTAAATGAATCTGCATTACCAAGCCTGAAGCCAACAGTTTTGTCCTTGTTTTACTTCCATTTCCTCTGAGTCTGAGAAACCAGTTAGCAATTACTGAACTGTGCCAAATACTAGATTGGAAACTTTTCCTCTGCCACAGCATGCTACTTGGAAGTCCTAAGATAATATTTCTGGCTTTGAAATGCATCCATGAAAATTATCTTATCTCATCAGCCCCCTTTTAAGCTCACTTTTCCTTCTCACTTCACTACTACCCTTCCCTTGCTGCTGGACTTCAGTAGATATGCAATATTTCATTACTGTCTTGAATTGAAACTAACCTCATTCAATCAACAGAAAACAGAAGCAAAGGGAAGTAATACTTTACCTGCTCAACCACAGCAACAAATTGTTGTGGTGTGTTAAACAACCAGTAGCAAAAGGCACTTCTATCTGTGGATGTTGGGCTGGATTGCAACAATTAAGCTGTGAACCAACTGGCTTCCAAAGAATAATGTTCTGGAACAAATACAGACTGTTATTGCCTTCCTCAACACCCCCCCCCCCCACCCCCCCCCCCCCCCCCCCAAAAAAAATAACCCAAAGATGAATGTATCGGGTTATATTTTCCCTCCCAAAGTGTTTTGTCTTATTTCAGTATCAAATAAAAGAACATAACAATGTCTAATGTCTCTGATTGTTTGCAGAGAGTTCCCTGCTGACAACTTTTGGAGTGATTGCTAGTGCACTGAAAACGTGCTGCATGCGATACCGCTACTTTAGCGGAAGTGTGACAAACTGGCTAGATCACGCTAAGGAAAACTATGGTGGTCAGTACAGTGAGACTCAGGTGGAAAGTACAAAGGCGCTCACCAGGCTCTTCCCGTTGTATGCTTTCCAAATTCTATACAGAACATGTATTATGCAGGTGGGTACACAGCTTTTAAACAAAAATCTTAATATACTGTGATGTGTGTTTACTACTTGTAGTTTTATACCCCTGGCTGGCAGACAAACACCACAACCACTCACTCACCTCCCCCTCTTCCCCCTCCCCGGAACAGGGGAGAATTAAAGATGGAATGGGAAAAGAGACTTATGGGTTGAGAAAAGAACAATTTAATAACTACAGTAATATTGGAAATAATGATGATGATAATAATAGAAATATATACAAATGAGTGATACACAGTGATACTGCTCACTGCCTGATGACCAAGGCTCAGCCCGTTCCTGGCTAACAGTCCCAGAGCAGGGAGAGTCCCGAAACCGCACTCCTGGAACAGAGATAAGAGCCCAAGTGTCTGAAACTGAGAGCTGACCAAGGGAGTGAAACAACTCTGGGAGAGGGACCACCCATAGCCAGATGACCTGCAGCAAGAGGGCTGACCTGGAGCAAGACACCACCCAGAGAGAGCTGACCTGGAAGGAGAGACAACTTTCAAATAGATCCTCACCTATATCCTGCCGTGACATGCATGATATAGAAGAGACTATTGGCCAATTTGGGTCTCAATCCTAAACCTGAGGTCAAATCCCAGGCTAATAACTGGGGCTGTGCTCCCTCACAGCTTCTCCCACACCTGCAGACACTGGCACAGCAGAGAAGATGAAAAGTCCTTGACTGTCCTGGCAGCAACTGTAAACATCAGTATGTTATCAGCCTTCTTCTCAAAGCATAGCCTCACACTAGCTACTCTGAAGCAAGTTAATTGTCTCAGCTGAAACCAGGCCACTACTATGTCTCTATGCATACTTTTTTTTAACTGTTGCTTTACCAGCAGAGTGACCTTGTGGAGTAGTTTTAATTACTTGAGAGGATACAGGAAGCTATATTCTCATCTCATCAAATAAGTAAAATTGACTTGGTCAAGACTCCTTAAGGAGCTTGTGTGACTGCTTGCTACTCATTTCTCTGAACTTCACTGGATGAAACATCTAGTGCTAGAGTCCTGTGCTCCTCATACTGCCATGTTGCAGTTATCAGAGACTCATGCTCAGCATTCTTTTGAAAAAAAAAAGTAATTTTCCAATTTCTTAAATGTTTATTCACTTTTTGGGAAAGGTAGAAGATCTTTATTTGCTCTTTTGGTTGTATATTTCTCTTACTGTTTTGATGGGATTATGTGCCTGGTGTACCTACGCTGGAAATGGATGGTTTTCATTTATGGAAAGAAGCAGTCCTTTCACAGCCTCACTATCAGACTATGTGGTTCTTCCCACTTTTGAGTGTGTGTATGTTATGTAAATCTGAATGTGTCAAGATACTTAAGCTGATGTATTCCTTCAGATTCATTTTGGTCTGGATGACCCTGGCTAAGCAGGAGTTTGAGGTAGCTTACCCTTTGGCAACCAGAATAACAAATTTAAAAATTAATTTCCAAGCCAGTTTATACTTCTTGATGTTAAAATGCTGCTTAAGGAAATTCTTACAAATATGTAGCATATACGGCTTTATTGACACTCCCTCTTACCGTCATCCTACATTCCCATTCATCTTCCTTGTTCTTTCTCCTCTTCACTTCTCTCCCTCCCCAAAGCACAAAAAAAATTATGAGCAAACAAAAAAACCCCCCTCAAACCCTAACAAATAAATATACACATATGGCCAAGGCTATGGATTAATGATGAGAAGGAAATGAACCACATATAATTGAGGGTTGTAATAATCAGGTATATGTCTAGAAAAGTTAAGTATTTGCATTGCTGAAAGATTGCTTTTATTCCTTTGGCAGGATTTCCAACAAGTTTAAGGCTCTTTCTGAGACTAGGCGATAGATCAGTATCTTTTTTGTAAAGATTAATAGTATTTTCTCCATATTATTAAGTATAACAGCTTTCAGTGCCTGTGATTCATGTTGATGATATTTTAATTCCTATTAAGAAGACAATTCTTAGTTGCAATGGGCAGTGGAAAAAATGAACCAATTAAATTTGTCTCAATTCTGATCTTTTATAGTTCTGTTACCATTTATTCACTCTTTTACAATTTACATTTTCATTTGGAGGCGGAATGTAGGTGAAAAATATTTTTATTAAGAGCTAGCATTTAGAGCAATTCTTTAGCACTGAACAGACTCCCAGTGAGTAGGGTTGACCATAACCGTTGATGAGAAACCCTACATGAGCTCAGTTACTAACTATGCATTAATTTTCAGACAGCTATAAAGCCATAATATTCTACCTGGTTTTGGCATTACCAGTCATGTTGAAGAGCCATGCAGAATGCTGCAGGAATCCAGAACTTTCTAAAATCAGAAAGAGATTAAAGAAACCAGTTCTACATCCACCTCTGTCATGACTGTACTCTGTGAATTGCTCAAGGAGTTTCTTCTCTCTTTTTCCCATCAGTCTGTAAAATAGAGAGTATTATAGCTCCCTGCTGCACATGAAATTGCAACACTTAGTTAATCAAGCTTCCTCAAAAAAACAAATGGAAAAATCTGTTGGTGGAAGCCATTGTGATTTTTTTTTTTTTTTAAATTAGCTCCACAGATCTTCTGTAGAGCCTCACACAAGCAGGAGGAATCATTTGCTTGTGAGGTGAGAGGCAGTCTTACAAATCTACTTAATTTGGTACCCTGGTGACTGCCATTGGTGGATTCCTCATCTGGTTATTTGTTTTCTTCTGTTTTCAGTTCCCAGAGCTAAAAGTAAGTCCTTTATATAGCTGCTATGGCAGTCATTTAATGTTAAGCTAGTTTTAAGACTGCGGCCAAATCTTCATTCCCTGTGGCTTTTAAAGCCATGTGCTGGAAAGCGTGTCTTAAAAATTACTCTCACATTGAGCACACAATCAGAAGTTCAAAATAACTCTGCATCTTGTTATTCTAAAATTCTGTTCAGTATTTTGGCTGATAGCTCTAACTAGGGATGATCAGATAATCTCATGGACTGCTGCTTAGATTTGTTAAATTCAGGAGTAAGTTGGATAGGGGGAAAGTGTTACGTTCTCGCAGAGAACAAGAATGTCATTACCTGAAAGGCTTTCATCATGAATGGTGGTTCCTTTGGCCAGCAGGCATTTGGTTTGCTGTGAGTTCTTCAGATGCAAAAGAGTTGGAGAAGTTTCCAAATATAGTATAAATCTTCTCTATGAAAGGTACCTGGTATACTAATGTAGTGCGGTTTTATTCTTCAATACAGATTCCTTCAGGATATTATCTCCAAACCATGAATTCCAACTTGCACTTCAGTGGATATGTCTTGCCAGTTGCTGCAATGAATGTGATAAGCATCGTGCCACTACTGATTCTTGTTCCTATTTTGGAATGCATTAACTCATGTCTCTTTAGTTCCAAGGACAGTAGACATTTTCCAACAATTTACATTGGTATGTATAAAATAAATGTATTTATACAGTATAATGTGTATTCTGTTTTTGAAAGAATAACTTCAGTAGCTGATGGATGATCCCATGCAATTATTTCTGTCTCTAAATGTTAAGATGGACTTGCTTTGGGTTGACGGTCAGAGGTTAACATGTTTCAAAGGAATTGTTGAAAAGACAGTCCAGAAAAACATACTAGGTATAAAGAAAAAATGCATTGCTTCTGTATAGGACAGAGACTGAGACTCTTCTGACAAATAAAAAAATTTAGAGACACTCACAAATAGCTAGGTGTCATCCTAAGGAATTGGTGAGAGAAATGGTACTAACCATTTAGCCCTGAGACTTACTCTGATTTGGTTGTCTTCTAGATGTTTGTTTATTCATTAACTTTTGGAAAGTTAATTTACTTTGGAAGTCTTTTTTTGGGGATGGGGGAATCTGTCGATTAGTTGCTCTCTGATACTGGAGAAATGTTTGTTGCTCAAAGTCATGAGTTTGGATTTAAATAACTAGGTGACGAACAAAGTCTTTGTTTGTCTGATGTATTTATGCTGTAACTGCATCAACATTAGGACTGAAGTTCGTAAGAGAAATTGTATTCTCACTAGTACAGTTCATTACAGATTCTGCAGTTGCATCACAAGTGGAATGAAAGTATCTAGTCTAATTCTGTGTCTGCAATAGGTGTTTTTTTTAGAACTGGTAAGCAAAAGAAAAATGCAGGCAACTGCATAAAGCAAATGGATGTGTATCGCTGGGCTGCTGTTCCCATTGAGCAGGCTGAACATTTCACAGGGGGAAGGTTACTTGGAGAGGTACAGCTTTCCTCTCTAGTACTAGAATTTTCATTTGAATATCTAGTGTGGGATAACTGTCCAGATGTTTAGGAATTTTATTTATAAAAGTCCTAAACTGGAACATACCTTATTTTACACTCACTTAAAGTACAGCAAAGAGGGATCTTCAGAGGTCAAGTATTATCTCTTTCTCATAGAAGAAGTACAAAGAAGTCTTCTCTGTTTTGGGTCCCAACGCTTTCAACAGTAAGTGTTGTAAGCACAGGCTTGCAGATTGGCACTCCTTTCTGAGAAATTCATAGCCCAGAAGTGATGATGGCTTTAGGAGAGGCTGGGCCTCCTTCCATTGTCACTAACTTTTTTTTTTTTTTTTAATTACCACCTACCCCCAAACATCTTATGTTCTAGGATCTGGAGGGATCCTCTGCAGCTCTCTCTGATATCAGCTACATATAGTACCACAAGAAAAGCAGCTTCTATTCTCTATTAATTTAAAACTGTTCCTACATTTTTTTTCATCTTCCAGCCTGCATTACAAACCTCAGACAAAAATATTTATAAACGACTATTTTCTCAGTGTGCTCCTATTAATTCAGTGCCCCATGGCAAGCAGCACAGTGAGTACTGACACACACAGAGGTATTAATCTGACTAAATTAGCCTAATTAAGAGTGTTATTAAGTTTTATACAAACCAGATGCATATAACACAGCAGGTTGCAATTACCCTAGTTTTTAAAATAACATCTGCATTAAAACACAAAAAGCACATTCAGATAATAATTTTCCTTAAAACCACGGAAATTTCAAGTTAGTATTAATGTTCTATCCTGTTATGTTGAACAGCAGTAGAATATACGCAGTGGTTTATTCTTAATAGCTTCATTTATTAAAATAGCCTCCTGTTAAGGGTGATAAATTACCTGAGGCATAAAAATACCTGTGAGTACAGGCAATGGCTTTAGGTACCCAAGTATACAACTGCACCTGCAAATATGGTAGACCTCTAAGTGCCAATATTTTTGCCAACATTTAATTAGGTTCACAACTATTTTCAGGAAGAAAATTGGAATTATAAATAGGCCGTTGGTGTTAAGCCAGCCTATAACTATATTTTAATTCAAGTCTTGTAAGAGGAAGAAATTTAAATAGTTTTGTGGAAATTTTCAGTATGTTAAGAAGAACAGTTTTCAAGGACGAACCATATAGACAATGTTGAACTGAAATATCTGATTGCTCTATAATAAGGAACTACATGAAAACTGTAATCTGTGTTACTTTCTCATAGTTGTTGGTTTATTTGTAAATTAGGTACGATCTAAAAAACATTAAAATCTTAACATGAATGTAAATTGTGTCCCAAATATATTGAGTACACGCACTTTATGAAAATACAAATATTCATTAAACTTAGAGTTTTTCAAGTTTCATTCTTGTTTCTTTGTAGGGGCTTTTTGTTTTGTTCTTTAAAATATTTTGTGCTCCTTGATTTAGTCAATAGTATAGAAGATTCCACAGAGAACTGAAGGTGTGTGTCTGCTCCATAGTTGTCCACCAGCTACAGGCAAGAGGCTCTAGCTGAAGTACCCAAGCCACAGAAGTTCTTACTCTAGTATTCTTTAATGCCTGATTATATTGAAATGTCTTGTTAGTCTTGGATTTATTCCATCTGAGAGGGATATGGAGAATAGCTCTCTGTACAGTATACAAAAGCAAGCCCCCAGTCCAATGTCTGAGGTGATTTAGGAGTTGATGATGACCATTTCTCCCTAAAGGATGCTATAGTTTTTAGAAGTATTAATTCCAGGAAAGCTTTTCGACCTGTTTTACTCAGGATATGAGATCAGGAATCTCAGAGATCCAATACAGCCTTAGTCTATAGGTAATATATACAGCTTTGTCCTAGAGTCAGCCCAAAGTGTTCCTTAACCAGCCTGTTCTCCTATAAAACCAAAGCTTCAGATGGTCATTCCAAATCGCTTGTTTTAGAGGGACTGAAGGGAGAAGAGGTCTCCAAGCCTGTCCATTTTTCCCTCTGCCACATAATGTTATGAAATAAATATTACACCTGTTGGGCATTCAGAGGTTACTTTTTTTGAAATATTTTGGCTTTTAGTAAGGAAAATGCTTAAAATATAGCACTGTGTAGTAATATTGAACTGCTTGAGGTTTTTTTAGTACTTTCACTGGAACTCTTGCTTTGGTAGATTACAAGAAGTTCCTTGAGGGCTTTATACCTGGCCTTGATAAGATGCATTGGCTAGAAAATGCTGTTAAATTGCTTCCCGTCATCAATTTTCAAGCAATAATTCATTGATGCTTTCTTTGTGTTTTACTTTTCTGAGAGGCTACAACCATTTAATGTTTTCAACATCAAGAAATAGAAAATACATTTAAATAGTATCCTCTGTGCAATGTGTGGTGAAGTGTGTGGCATTTAAAATACATCTGAGTTTATTCAAAGCTTTTATCTTGCATTATGAGGCTAAACATATATGGGGCTTTTTTCCTGCCCTGTGCACTTGTGCAGTGCTTGTACTTGTGCCTTACCACCGAGGCAGGCAGTAAGACTCTGTGTGTTGCATGTACAGTAATATATTGAAATGTATTGTGGATCCAGTGTATTATGGATCATGCTGTGACACTTCTTCAGGACAGCTAAGGAAGGCTGGAGTCCAATGGCTTATGTGTAAACACTTAGCTGGAGATTATGTCTTCTGGTAATGCAGCTCATATCAGCCTTAAAAATGTTAAACAGTCCAGCAAATGCACTATCTGACAAACTTTCAAAAGTAGTTCAAGGGAACTCTAGAGGGAAAGGGGGAAAATATAGGAGTGCTTGATCTCCTGAGCAGTCATTTGCAGCACTGATCTTTTTCTCTTCTATCTACTGTGGCCTGCAGCCTTAGAAATCCAGTACTTCAACTGCCTGCACTGCTTCTTTTTGTATAGAAAAAAAATGGGTAAAGCATGTGCTGTATGTGAATATTTCAGAATCTGATTGCTGCTTGAATAGGAGACTTTCCGCTGCTTGGTAGTCTTGTTCCTACCCAGTCTCCTGTGGTATCTGGAAAGGCTGATGCCTTTTCTTTCTCTCCTCCTTTCATACCTCTCTCAATCTTCAGAAAAAAAAAAGTTCTTTGTGACTTTGCTCTTCAGAAAAGTTTTTCCTCTCTCATTTATTCTACATCCCTAAATTTTCTGTGCTGAACTGGTGTCCCTTTGCCGTATATTTAGAATTAGGCTTGTGTTGTAGCAAATACTCTATTCATGTTTACGTGTCCAGAGAGGATGTACTGGGGATGGGGGGGAGTTTCTTTTGTGTCTCCTAGGGCTTTGCTTCATTTTAAATACATGATAATCCTGTAACTACAGCCTTGGTGAATATTCTGTGTTCTTTACCCAGTTGTAGGTCAGTTATCTGCTGCACTTTCTGTGATGGTTGCTGGCTTCTCTGAAATACACCGAAAGCATTTCCCTCGGGTGGAGCAGACACTTTCTGAGGAGGTTCTTCTGGTTTCCTCCATGCCATGCTTTCACTTAGCTCCTCAGTACATCCTCCTTGGAGTGGCTGAAGCCTTGGTTACTCCCTCCTGTAAGTAAAATCTAATAGGCTAAAGCAAGAGTGTCCTGATTTGCAGAGAATGATATCAGCTTCCTAAAAATAATTACTGTCATCTGATATTTTATCCCTGGCTCTCTTCCATGGGCTTAATGAGCAGATCTGTCCTTTGCCTGCTTCAGAGTAACATAATTTGTCTTGATGGCTGTAACTCAGAGCGAGCAATGACATTGCTCCAGATTAACTGGAAGGTAACACAGCCTGGTCAGGTCCCTGGGGTGCGTAATCCACTGTTCGGCAGGGAGATGGTCAGCGCGGTGGGACTCTGGGCTTGGATGTGTGACTGGTCTTGAAGCTGAACGTGCGTTGGGCGGGGGCTGGACTGAATGACCTCCTGAGGTCCCTTCTGACCTGAACTCTTCTGTAATGATTTTCTTGAGACAGAACAAATATGCACATGACAGCTGAGCTGTGGTTACAGTCTATGAGCACTTTTTAGGCCACAGTCAAAGCAAGGTGAAACAATTTAGCTTAACCCTTTTCACTTGTGGACCCAGCTAACAGAATAATGACGTGTTTTGCACTGACACAGAGTATCTGTAGGTGGGTAACATAATTCAACTGACAGGCTAACCTGGAGAATATCGTAGACAGATGGAAGACTTTTGTGCTCCGATCTGGAGTTGTGAGAACATGCCTGCACAAAGCATCATGCCTTAGATGGTGGCACGGAGCCAGAGATAAACACTCCTATTTTGCAGGGCACCAGCAGAGCTTAGCTCATGCCTGCCATCCATAAATTATGTAGACGTGCTCTTGATTGTGAGTCTGAACCTTCTCTCCCTTCCATAATTTACCTTTCCATGTCTATACTGACATTCCTGAGGCTCATTTTCTTCTGAGGAGCATGCAGAGTGCTTACCAACGTTTTACCTTGCAGAGCTTAGAAAAATGTTAGTATTGCAAAAATAATCTAATCAACATTCCCTTAAAGAGACACAGGTAAAGTCATTGACTAGCTGATCTCTGCAGGCATTTAATTCTACAGGTTGAGTGTCTATTGTTCCAGTACAACCCCACAAATATTCAGATTTTTATTTAAGAGCAGGAAATAACTTCAGTGTCTCAGCTTCATTTTTACACTCTAAGACTACCGAGAGCTGTGGGTCATGGTCTGTCACTAAAAAGGTAATTTTCCCTAGTTTTAAATACTTGGCACTTTCATAATGCTTCTTCATCCAGTAGCTCTCAAGTACTTAACTGAGACAGGTTTCTAAGCAGGTAATGTGGTTTCTAGGTTACAGGGTAAGTGTAAGTGAAAACTGTGACCTTCTCTGTTTAGCTTAAGGGAAAAAAAAAGGTTAGGAGGTGGCTTGCTTACAGTCTTCTACAGGCATATGAGAAGAATATTGGTGGTAGAATAAGGCTTTTTAATGTAGCTTGCTGGGAGACAAACTGAAGTCCAATGACTGGAAGATGACATTAGCCTTTAGAAAAGAAATAAAACTCCGTCTTGGGGGAAGGGTGTGTTCTTTTTTTATTTTCTCCATCTTTTTAAACGATTGTGATTAGAATTTCTTAGAATAAAAGTTATCTTCCACGTTTTAAATAAAGATTAAGCATCCTGATAAGAGCTGCAGCTAGAGGTGTGATTCAAGGACCCAAGTAAATGGGACTAAGTCTGAATTTGAGGCTTGCATGTAGAAAACTAAAGGTAGGTACATACAATGGTAGGTTACTGCTGTAGTTGATGGGGATGCAGGACTCCATTCACTTGCTCACACATAGGATGTCTGTCACTGTTTGTTATGAGTATCTAGGCTATGCATGCTGGGCAAGCAGGCTCTTTATGGTACCTGTATGGCATCCAGCTGCTGCTGGAGAAGAGGATGGTTTTCCCAGAGATCTTGCACCTTATTGGAGAGCCCCATGCAGATGGCCAGGGTACACTACAGCATTTTGGGCAGCACTGGGCATCTGTGTTCAGGCTACTGAACTGAGCTCTAGGCTTTCACTATATTTAAACTGAATTGCTGTTCAGGAACCATTCAGTGGATCTCCATGGATGGTAGTGACAGCCTAGGCACTTAAATAATTGTTTCACCTTTCCTGACATTTTACAGCCTTTGTTATGCAGAAGGTCAAATCCAATTATCATAATAATTTACTTGACCTGAAAGTACATGATCCAAGTTGAAGACAGGAATGTTCACACTTGTAATCAGAGGGAAAAAAGGACATATCTCATTTCTGAAGTGCTTGGCTAGAGGAGATAGATTTGGCATATTGAACTCTTTATCTGCATTTGAGCCTTGATACTTACAATTGTGTTTATACAATATATTTAATTATCTTGTTGATAGGAGTTTTATATAATCATCTGCTTCAGGTAGCATGAGCATCTCTTGGAATAATATCAGCATTTAATGTTTCCCTAGCACTGAGGTAGTCTTTTTTAAAAAAAAAACGAAAAAAAACCAAACAAACAAAATAAAACAATGATAAAATAATTGCTCTCCTCTGCAGTGTTAGAATGTAAGATCTCACAGGCCTCTGACAGCTTGAATTTGTAACCCTAGCTTGGTTTAAACTAGGAAATTACTCTTTTAAAGCCTGATGATTTAAAAGGAGGGAAAAAACCCAAAAACTGCCACACAATTTCCACCCCTATCCCTATCCCCATCCCCCAAAAAA